GTGTGCCGGGGTCTGTCCGCCTCCGCGCAGGGTCCTCGTACGGGCTGGGCGGGACGGGCGAGCCCGATCCAGGCGCAGCCTGGCCGCTGGCCCCTCGGCTAGCCGGCGCCTTTCTCGGGAAGGTGGGTAGCCTTGCGTGCCCATCGGTTCAGGAGCCGGGGTCGTAAGCTTCTCCGGCATCTGCTGTGATGTACTTACCGTTAATAACATGGCATCTGCTGTGCTGTATTTGCTGTTAATAAGAAATGGTAGCATCTTGATGCTGTTTCTAAGACAAATGGTAACTAATGTTGTTGCCCACCGAGCTTGGTGCGTTATTTATGTAGGACGTAGTCTGAGTGTATGAGCTGGGGACTAACCAGCGTCCTCCTGCCTGTGGACTGCACATGCGTGTTAGAGTGGACCTGTTAGAGGGGTCCAGAGGAGGGCCGGGAAGACGGTCAGAGGGCACATCCCCTGTGGAGAGAGGCTGAGAGAGTTGGGGTTGTTCAGCCTGGAGAAGAGAAGACTCTGGGGAGACTATACTGTGGCCTTTCAGTATATAAAGGGGCCTTATAAGAAAGACGGAGAAAGACTTTTTACTGAGGTCTGTAGTGACAAGATGAGGGGTGATGGTTTTAAACTAAAAAAGGGTAGGTTTAAATTGCACATAAGGATGACACTTTTTACCATGAGAGTGGTGAGACAGTGGGACAGGTCGCCCAGAGAAGCTGTGGATGCCTCATCATTGGAGGTGGTCAAGGTCAGGTTGGATGGGGCTTTGAGCAACCTGATCTAGTGAAAAATGTCCCTGCCTATCCCAAGGGGTTTGGACTAGATGACCTTTTTAAGGGTTCCTTCCAACCCAAACCAACAGGCAGCCTATTCTGTGGAAATGGGAGAAGTTTGGGTCACCGGCAGGAATGCTGCCTCTATGCTTTCGGGAGCTGTGATGAAAACTCCATTACTTATGGGAAGGTGGATTGCCCCAAACTAGCTACAGTCTAAAGGCAGGCTGCTGTGTTGATGTAGTGTGCATGGATTCTGGCTCATAGCTATGAATGAGGATGGATAATCAAGAGATCACAGTTAATTTAATTTCTAAATCTGGTTTGAACCTTTCTGTGCTCTTTTAGTACAGAATACAATTATTTGGAAAAAAAATGAAATAAAACTGAGTAATAATGAATATTTCTTAATCCTTTTGCTTCCTTCACCTCAAAACTTGAGAGCTGATTACCTCTTTAACCAATCTTAGGTTTTGGTCTTTTACACGATTCTGTAGAAAGAAAATCTGTCTTTCCCTTCACTGTTTGTACTTTAAAACTAGGCAACAACTAAGATAGGGGTTTTTTTTAATGTTAACTGCTGTTTATTCAATTTTTCTCAAAATTTGCAGGTTACAACTGTAGAAGAAGTGTAACTGTGATGTTTTATGTTTGAACGATGACAATGAACGACAGCGTTAATATCTTGAACTCTGCTTATCTGGCGGTGGAATATATAGACTCTTTCTTGCCTGACAATCCCCTGCAGCAACCATTTAAAAATGCCTGGAATTACATGCTGGATAACTACACAAAGTTCCAGATTGCTACTTGGGGATCACTTATAGTTCATGAAGTTGCATACTTTTTGCTCTGTGTACCTGGATTTGTCTTTCAGTTTATACCATACATGCAAAAGTATAAAATCCAGCAGGTAAGACAAAGTTGTGAACTACACACTTCCTGATTTGTGTTTGAACATGTGAAGTAGAACATATAACTGCAGTATCCTAGTTTCCAATTTATATGATTCCATTTCCTCTATGACTTGGACATCCTGGAAGTAACAGAGCAAAATTACAATGTGTATGAGGAGAGAAGTAGTGGATTTTGAGGAAGGAAAGGAGATTTTTCTGAGGGAGGGTACCTTTTCATCATGGTGGTATAGAGAGAAAAGGGTATGTCAGTCTTTGCTAACAAGGTTACATATATGGTTTATGTATCATCAGGGGATTGTGTAATAGTACCATAACATCTGGTGGTAGAGGTGTGTCTTAGTATTATAAAAGAACTACGTGGTGTGCTTATTTAATAGCAAGTGACTCTTTCAAAAGGATTTTGAAGTATTTTTTTAACAATGGAGAAAGCCTGGGATGGACTGCACGCTTGTAATAGGTATTAAAGGCACATCTAGTAACTAAAGATGATTGTTTTCCCCCAGTTTGTTGTAATATGAATTGGAAAGGTTTTGGTGAAGGAAGAGGTTTTGATGAAACTGAATCCAATCCCATGTAATTTGTATTGCCTGCATTAATTTGTGTTATTGGAGGACCTGCTGTGTGTCTTCCAAAGTGAAATGAAACTGCCTCCAAAGTAATTTTTGCAGCACTTCAGTTATGGGCAATCGAAATACATAACACAACTTTTTGCTTCTTCTTAGGATAAACCAGAAACATGGGAAAAACAGTGGAAGTGTTTCAAAACGCTCCTCTTCAATCACTTTTTCATTCAGCTTCCTCTGATTTGTGGCACCTATTACTTCACAGAGTATTTTGACATCCCGTATGAGTGGGAGGAGATGCCTAGATGGTAGGTAGATTTTTCTCAAGTTGATGCTGAGTTACATACAGTTGGAGGTGCGCTTAACAGTAATTTTTTGGTGATGTAAACTGTTAATTTGCTTCTGTTGATGCTTAAATGCTATTAAGAGCTAATTAGGACTTCCTAGATATTTTTTTTTAAATGGCTCCAATATTCTGATACTCAGAAGAAGAGAGATTAGGATAGAGTTTATAGAAGCAAAGCAAGATTCATCATGGCATGGCTTAAATATTGGACTTTCTGGGGTTTTTTATCCAAAATTTTTTGTCTCTTCTTAAGTGTTTCTTCTCTCCACCTTGTTTTAGATCATAGCAGCAGTGTGTTCCTTAAAGGAGAGAATCTACCACCTGCTTCACATTCTCTTTTTTTTTTTAGTAAATGATACACTAAACAAAGCTGAATTAGTTGTAAATGCCACCTCCTCACCCAACCCCCACCCCTAGAGTGGTTCTTTACAGCAGAAGGTTGTCTTTCTTGGAAAGCTATTTTGTGTCTGGTTTAGATAGCTGATGTAGCTCTATATTTTTATATCTGGGTCTTACACGGTCTATGAGTGTTCTCTGTAGACCGTGTGTGTAACATTGAAATGACAACTTGTTATACCCAATGCTAACTCACTTCAGCATATCAACAGATGAGCTGATAAGCACAGTAGCCCTTGTAACAGGTTAATATTTTTAGCATGTTAAAAAGGTAGCGTCAGTGTGCTGTTATTTAGTCAGTAATAGGCATAAACATTTCCCACCCTTACTAGCATATAAACTATTTTCTCTTTTAGGATTGTGTGTCTGCTAGTATGTTTTATATCTAATAGCTCTTCTGCTTTTTAAAGGTACGTTCTGGTTGCCCAGTGTTTTGGATGTGCAGTGATTGAGGATGCCTGGCACTATTTCCTGCATAGATTGCTGCATCACAAGAGAATATACAAGTATATCCATAAGGTTCACCATGAGTTTGTTGTATGTATTATTTGATCTTTTTTTTTAATATATCATTTTTAGTATATGTGGTTTCATACAACTTATTTAAATGTTGCATTTGAAAGAATTAAGAATTTTGCATCCCTCTGACAGTAGGATAGATGTCTGGACTATTTGTCAAGAACAGTCATCCATTTTGTTTCTGGAAACACCTTTAATTTTATTTCATTTAATAGGAATGGAAGATCACACTCTTGCTAAAGTTTGATCGTATCTGTTGAGCTGGGTGAAGCAGGCTTTTTAAAACATGTTTACAGGTCTTATTGTTAGGGGATGGGAAACAGCAGGTTTCTGGGTTTGATGGCTTGCCAGTTCTCTACCACCTAGGGTGTTATCCAGAGCATACTTACCCCCAGAACATGATCCAGACAGGCAGCTCCAGCAAGGCCTGGGTGTGTGCATCATACTTAGAGTGTACTTCATTCAGGGAGGGACTATAGCTCTGGATATGGGCCTCTGGAAGCAGTATAGCCAGTTGTGTGATACTGCATCAAGAGCACAGTTCAGTACAGAGATATTTTGGGTGGTTCTGCATTTAACGGTGTTGGAGCAAACATTGAGCACAAGGTAATGAGCCACACTTGACTGAAGGTGGCACTGTTCTGAGCCAGGTAGGGTCCAGCAGTGCTTACACCTTATAGTTTGTATAGTTGTGTTTAGACGGCACTGTCTCTGGATCACAGAAGTCAGTGCTCCTGTGTTTGTGTACTACTGGGTTTCGGTGTATAAGCTATACTGTGCATAAGATAAACTGCAAGCTACCGGGTCAGGAGTGGTTTATACAGGCTGCCGGCAATAGAGAAGTTTGGTATTGATTGATGCATGCATAGATACGTACATCTGCAGCAGCAGCTGCTGTTTTCCTCTCGCTGTTGGTAGCCCCTCGGGTCTCTAGCAGGAGCAGCTTCTGGCCGTTATTCTTGAGAGTGGTTAGCAGTTCACACAGAATTGATCTTGTAGGCTAATGGCTGTTTCGCTAAAAACTTTGCCTGATCACTCTCTAGAACTACTTGAAAAGACATTGTAGAGAGGTTGGTGCTGGTCTCTTCGCACAGGTAACTAGTGATAGAACAAGAGGGAATGGCTTTAAACTGCAACAGGAGAGGTTCAGATTGGACATTAGGAAAAAATTTTCACACAAAGAGTGGTCAGACAGTGGAATAGGCTGCCCAAGAAGGTGGTGGAGTCACCATCCCTGGATGTGTTTAAGAGTCATTTAGATGAGATGTTGGGAGATATGGTGTAGGGGAGAACTTTGTAGAGTAGGGCTGATGGTTGGACTCCATGATCCCAAGGGTCTTTTCCAACCTGAGTGATTCTGTGATAGTAAAAGGTGACAATTTTAAAATCGCCTTTAGGCCAAAGTGGATTTTATTTTTTTCTGATAATCAAATTTACAACCTTCAGCATTAGGTTAATTTTTTTTAAACCATTCCTTGTGTAGTATTCTTTTGAAAACTGTTTGTGGAATGTCTTTATTGGTAAACCAAAGGTAGGAATGACTGGTGTGCATGTGTGTATATATAAAGGAAAGAAAATGTTTTATTTCAATCTCAAAATAACGTTTGAACAGTGCAAATTTACTTAAAAACAATCATCAAAGATGAGGCGCTTTTTGTTTTTAAAATAAAAGTGAATCCTGATTCTGAGAATATTTTGATTTCCTTCTTTCTTCTGCTTCCAAGACTGGAAGTATAACAAAGCTGATAGGAGCTTGCCAAACACTTTAATATTCCTGAAATAACACTTCGGCTTGGGGTAATGGTAAGCCTAAATAAAAGTTATCAACTTTTCACCTAGTAGTAGAAGTGTTTGGAGTCACTAATGGAATGATAATACTTATTGACCCTGGAATACTGTTTTCCCAATGAGGATCTGAACACCTGTGTTAAGGCCCTTGCTCAATCATACCATTTTCTTCACCCAAAACATCATTCCATTTGTCCTATTGTAGTTTTGTGGGGAAATGGGAAGATGAGAGTACCACAAAATGCTGATTCTGATTTTGGGGTATGTAAAATTGAAAATGGTGACTGTGTTCCTGTCTGCTATCTCTTTCTAGTCTCCGTTTGGAATGCAAGCAGAGTATGCACATCCTCTGGAAACACTTATCCTTGGAACTGGCTTTTTTATTGGAATTGTGGTTTTCTGTAACCATGTGATTCTTCTGTGGGCATGGGTGATATGTCGCTTAATGGAAACCATTGACGTACACAGGTGAAATCCTCATTGCTTTTTAATAATTGCTTTTCTCTTCCTCCTAAGTCTGTCTCAAACTTACCTGCTTCTTTCAGGTTTACTGTTTATTTTGCACTGAAATGCTTTTATGCATCTTACAAAGAATGATACAACCTGAACAGTTACCACTGTTTTCTATTTTGAGGTAGTGTTAATAGCAAATCTTGCTGATTTACAAGAGTGCAGACTGTCAGCTAGAGCATCTCAAGGAGGGTTTCGGAAGCTAGGTGCCTCATCAGGATGTCTGGCTCTTGATATTTGGTGTACAAGTGATCTTACACACATTAGAATGCCAAAAATTAATTACAAATAGCAATATTCCAGCCATGAGTTCTTTCCATTTAATAATACTTTGTCAGAGACTTTTCCTGGATATGAGAAATTTTAGGCTATATAACCACTGAGTGTCTTTAAATATATAAATTACTTTCATTTATTTGCTTATTAATTTATTTGTTGTAGATACAAAGGACAAGACTTCTTGTCTCTGTAGTAAAACTGACTTCTTTCTAATTTGGCTCCAAAACGCTAATGCAAATCCCAGTAGGCTTAGCTGGGTTCATCTGCAAATGAATGAGTTTTTCCTTCCTGTGTTCAAGAGGAAGGGGACAGTAAGAGTTCATTTTTTGAATGCTAGTATTACACTTGACCTTGTATCTGTAAAAATGAAGCATATACTGCCTTACTGTAAGCTGAGTGTCAAGTGTTTTAGTGGAACATAAGCTACTAATGAACTCATCGTACAGATCGTTGCTGGTTTAGTTATATATTGCTTATAGGCTGAGAAGTATATGTTGTGACATACCACAAAGTGATTGATGCAAAATATGAATCTGCTTTGATAATTATCATTTTAGTTTGTTGCCTGCATGAGGTGTTTATAAGAAATTACCTTGCGCTTTCCCCACTAGGTGGCGGTAAGATGCTTTCTGGTACTACTAAGCAGAAGAGTTGAAATCCCTTTAAAGCAAACTGTTCTGATTTTAATATTACTTTAATTGTATATTTTGAATTTTAAACATATTGAGAACTTGCAGTAAGCTGAAAATAAGAGTAAAACCACTAAAATTGTAGTTGATTTGAGATGCCGCTTGATGAGCAGCTGAATTAATGTTCATAGATTGTTGCTAAAAGATACTGTTATTTTTTGTTCCTCCTTCCTGCTGGGCCATCTTGTCTAGACCATGCTTTTACCAAGAAAGGTTGGACCAGATGATCCTTGAGATCCCTTCCAACCTGGTATTCTATGATTCTGTGATTCCTAACATCACTCTTGAGTCAGTTAAAGCTGCTAAGCCAGCAGGAAGTTAGCCACTGTGATTTTTTTTCAGGTGACTTGCTTAAATTTTTTTGTATTGCCTACTAAACTGAGATGAAAAGGTCAGAAAGTGCCAAAGCCGTTGTGGGATAGTTTACAGGGGCATTTCGCTAGGATAGGAGGAATCTTGTTTTCCTATTAAGCCAGTATTACATGTGATTACCTCAGGGCCTTACCATACCAAAAAATCATTTTATACAAATAAGAAGTTATTGTCTACATTTTGCGGTTTATATCTGGGAAAATTCCTTATTATAGTTGGGGTTTTTTTTCTTCCTTGTAGTGGCTATGATGTTCCGCTGAACCCTCTTCATTTGGTGCCTTTCTATGCTGGGGCCCGCTTTCATGATTTCCATCACATGAACTTTATCGGCAATTATGCTTCAACCTTCACATGGTGGGACAGAATCTTTGGTACAGACTCTCAATTCATTGCCTATAAAGAAAAAGAGAAGAAGCAACAACTCATAATGAAGAAGAAGGCTAACTAAATTTCCAGTGTAAAAATTCTGATGCTAATACTGGTAGTCAACTTTTGCTTTTCTGTAAAGCAATATAGTGATTGGGTGTTAAGCATAAATCTTGTTCCTTGGCTACTAAGTGGTAGGGAAAAAAGGCTAATTACACTGCAGTATCTTCCTAATGGGAATGCTTTCTATTTTATACTTAAGTACTGCATATATTTTAACTACAGATTTAAGGATGATGCAAAAAAAACCTGAGATGACTTGTGTCTATCCATTTTTCTTTTTTTATCTGTAATCTAAAATGACATAATAAATCTAGATAATTTTTTTTTTTTTTTTTTTTTTTTTTTAAATATCAATTTTATCTTTCATGATGCCCACTTTGGATCCAGACAGAATTGTATATGTACACTGAAATTGGACTTAGTTTTTTTAAATATATATTCTTAAATTTGTACTATCAAATAGCAGAAGAATATATATTCTTAAATTTGTACTATCAAATAGCAGAAGATACTAACTAGTATCAGCACTGTACTACTGTTTAAATATTGGGTAAAAGTCGCTTAAAACCAAAACATCTGTTAATAAGAAGCTTGGACTGACCTTTTGCACACTGGATAATGCAAACTCTTAATAACAGAATACCTGGATAAACATGAGTTAGCAGAGACATTCCTTATCTAGATTTATTATGTCATTTTAGATTACAGATAAAAAAAGAATAGAAGTTTTTATTTGAAGAAACTGGGTTTTGCTGCTCTTTTGATGTTGGTATGTCAGTGTACTTAGCATTTACATTACATTCTTCTCTATGTGTTGTAATTTGCTGAACTGACTTGTTGCTATATTTGCACTTGTGACTGATGAAATAAATGTGGTTGGTTTGATGCGTGTATTATACCTTTCATATGTATTTTTATACAAAATTGTGTCTTACTCTGTTCATCCCTTTAATGAAGAAGCATTATTCCTGTTAGTGTGGTCTACAACAGTTCCATCTGTTAAACTACTTAGAGGCAGCAGTAAGAAATGGAAATGGAGAACATCTTATAAATTCCGCTGGTTTGTGTTTTGAAGGACTTGGATACATAGCTACTCAGGGTAGGGACAACTTTTGGGCCAAGTGTATTCTCAAGCTTCAGCTTTCACAAACTAGAATCTCAAAATCTATTACCTGAGTTGTACTAGTAACAGAAGGAGTAGTCTAATATTGAATCTACTCTAAATACTTGTCTGTTGCATAGGAAGTAACAGTGGAAGGGCTTAAACCCTTATAAAGATTTTGCACTTTGTGTTTTCCTGTCAGCCGCTTTTCAGAGTTCAAATACCACTTCATCTACCAGGTAAGTCCTTTAGAGATGATTACAGCATTTTTCTTGAGTCGAGACCACCTGAATTTTCATGCTGCTTCACATACAGTCTGGTGTAATACTCAAAACTGGCAGTCCTATGAAAGTGCAGATGAAATCAGGCTTCTAACAAAAAAACAAGACTTTAATGATATTCAGAGTGATTTAAATATTACTTGAGATGGGGGAGTGGTTCAGATTCCTCTTCTGCATGTGTTTTATAGAAGCTTTTATTTCTCTACCCATATCCGTATTGAAATTAAGTGTTCTTCCCCTTCCCTCTAAAAGGAAGTGAAAATACTTGACTGTGGCAGGTGAATGGAGGCTGAAATTTCTGCATTGTTTATTTTTTAGCAGGGACTGGTACTTAAAGACTTCCTGAATCCATATGCACTGCCAGCCTGAACTCTCCATGGTGGAAGCGACCTCTTTAATCAGATTTCAAAGATGGCTATTATCTGCTTGGCTTTGTCAACTCCCACTCTTATCCTGCAGCTGCAGCTATACTTTATTTTACTGAATCCCTAGCCTAAAAATACAAGGAGCTTTGTGCTTCAGATTTTCCCTGTGTACTTGATTCTATTCACTGGTTCTCAGCCCACTACTTGAGCCTATACACACACAGTCACAAATTGTCTACAACTGTGAGCTAATCGCCTAAATACTCTGGTAGTGGTATTTGTAAAAGTGTGGTGTCTCCTCAGCTATTGGAGAGCTTAATCAGAGCACTAAAAGCTTGATAGGATGACTTACAAAGTTATAATGCATATTCCATTCTTTAAGAAATTTTTAAAATAAATGTAATTTTAATATATTGCTCATGCCATCTTTGTAGGTGGTATGCATGGGGGTTTTTTTTGTTCTTTGTTCATGACTTGAATCTGTATTTTTCTGACACCCTTTGCTATTTCATTTTTTGGGGTTATTTTATGTACATCCTTAGTGTGCAATGTGATCACATCATTGCTTTTGAGCCTCTAACAAATCTCAAGAGAATTATGCAAGCTGTGCTTTATACATTTATTTTTGGCTGAAAAAATGTGCCAGCTGAACCTTTCTTAACACAGAATCTTTCATTTGGAAGCCACAGGCTTGTTTTGCTGCAGGACTCAGATAGACCTACATTCTACCCCACCCCATCACCTTTTCAAGTGCAGGACCTTGTATTTACTACTGAAGATGATGCTGGCTAGTAAATGACCTACCTCATTACTATGTATCTTTTATGCATATCAAGAACTGTGTTAGGCAATTACATATTTGAGGTTTTAGGCCATTATTAAATAAGGCTTCACTGATTTTTTTCCTATATTTAGTGAGAGAGACTATAGAGTATGTATAGTTCTGAAAACTAAGAGGTTTTTGTGCAATGGAAGAAAATGAGAGCAGCATATGAGTAACAGGTTTGAGTTCTTCACAAGGCACAACAAAACCTTACACGATCTGTTGTCCTTTATCTTCTTTAGCAAGGAGGCAGATTTAACTCTTCAGAGTGGTAAGATAGGGGAATAAGTGGGGGAGGAACATTTTCCACAACTTAGTTTTTTCCTGAAAGACCAGTTTAGTTTAAGTAAGGCTCATCTGTGGGAAATAGCAGCTTGTACTGTCCCTTAGGATATGACAATAATTAAGCCCTGTGAAAGTGATGAATTAATTTCTTGGGTTCTGTGTCCAAAAAACGTGGACACTTGGAAAGTGTAATAAATTCTTAAGATTAGGATTGCGTAAGTCAACTGCTTTTGGCTGCTGATGTGAAATACTAAATAAGGAGGTTTATATTACACTACAGCACAGCTTGCCAGAAAATACTAATAATGATTGATACTATATTTGTAGATTATCTGACTTTATTTTCCTCACTGAGTTTATAATAAATGACTATTGAGTGGTTTAAGATAATTTTAAAGAAAAGTGTGATATGTTTCTAGATTTTTTAACATGAATTATTATAGAAAAATTATATTGAAACCTACATTATGGCTACAGATAGTTATTGCTGACTACAGTTTCTGGATCATTGCCTCCAAGTCTCCATTCTGTTGCTGCTGTCTTTCTCTCTGTCAGCTGGCGCCTTTGGGGAAATCACAGCCATAGAAACCTGTAACTGGCAGTTCCAGGGAGAAGGCAACTTTTGCCATTGGTTTTTGGTATAATTTTCTATCTGTTGAAGGTAATAAATACAGCTTTTTACTTGTATTTTTCACCAGCTAAATGGATTATATCATGTCCTCTGCAGTAAGGCATTTCCTCTATTTCTGAAATCACTTCTGTGGCTTGTCTCTGAATTTTTGATGTCTTGTTTCAGCTGTAGATAGCAGAACTGCATGTCCAAATTATTCTCTCTAATACCACCTTGGTGCTATAATCACATCCTTCCTCTTAACCATTGTCCTTTTGTCTAAACATTCAAAGATAGAATTAGCTGTTCTGCAGCATTGTGCTGGAAAATACAGTCAGGTTACCCATCTACTTGATCTCTCGATGCTTCTAGAAATCCTGCTTGCCAGACTGTTACAGATGTTTTATATGTCTTGCTCTTAAGTATAATTTGCAATTTGCTGCTCTGACAACATATTTAAAGGTGTTTGATTTACTAAGTGATCTAAATCATATTCCAGATCTGCTATATCCTTATTATTCACCATTCTTTGTCATCTACAAATTTTAATTAGTTTTGAATCACATTTATGTAATCACTGAATAAATTAACCCCCAGACTTGAAATGCCATTCCCTGTGGAAGACCAGAAGAAAGTTCCTGTTAGATAATGACTCACCACTTTTCAAAAAACCCAGTCAGATAGTTTTGTGAACTTTCACAATGGTCCGGCACGGTTGTTTCTCGGTGAGAGTGTTCGGCGCTATAGCCACGCCATCTCTCAGAAACAGCATTGCAGTTCTGTGTCCAGGACCCAGTGTCACCCCAGGAGCAGTGATTACTCCTGCAAACTGAAACAAGGGGTAGCAATAAGCCATGGCCTTTTGTGTAGGTATGCAGTGTGTGAATGTCAGGTACTTCTTATATGAAATTTAAGTTACAGTCTACAAAGAGGCTCTATGCAGAATTGTTAGGCGTATAGGATGTTCATCACTCCAGCAAGAGCACAGTAAGTTCTTAAATACCTGATAGGGTAGAGTTTCAGTAGCATGGATGAGTCATTGAATGGGTGGAGACCATAAATGATTCAGTCTTGCAATATGTAACTGGAAGGTGGGGTTTTTTTTTGTCCTTTCCATTTCTGTTACCTCCTGCATAACTGCCTCGTCTGTATTCGGATTTCTAAAAATTTTTTTTTTTTTTTAATCTATTTCCTTTGACCTGTCTTATGTTAAGCCAGTTCTTCCTCAAGTTACTGGAAAAACTTTCCATATCTCAACCTAGTTTTGCAGGCATCCAAGAAATAGAGCCACTGAGTTGTGCAAGACATTTTGGAGGTTAGTAATAGAAGCTCTGTATTAAAGACAGCTTCGAGTGACCAGAGCTACCAGATACAGTGTGTGCATATGATCAGCATTCAGATAAGTTTTGTGAAAGCTTCTTACAACTCGCATGTTATCCCTGTCTACTTGCCCACTAATTTGTTAACACTGAGATCAACCGTTCTCTTTTTAAAATTGCTTGAAGCTATTCTATTCCTATCATTAATTTATTGATTGAAACCCTTTCCAGCTTTTACTTGGTCTTAGGACATATATGGTATATAGCTGTTTTTTTCTGAATCATTGTGCTAATACCCTAATTAGCCTCTCAGGCTAATTAGCCTCTCAATTTCTCTTAGGCTTGAAAATGCAATATAACTGGATTTTAGCAGGCCAAAGATAGCCCTTCTAAGGCGGGAGCTTAAAAATCAACTAGTAGAGGAAGGACATAGACCTGCTGGAGCAGGTCCAGAAGAGACCACAAAGATCATCAAGGGGCTAGAGCACCTCCCCTAT